TCCCAGTTCTGGGACTGCCTTGGAGTAGGAAGGGAACTATAGAATTATAAAACTTCTCTAAGGGAAAGGCCAAGAAAATAAGATTTCATCTCTCTCAGGAAATGAAGGGGCTGAACACCCAGAGACGACCAACAAAGGATTGCCAGCTTGACTCACCAGTCCATAAGAACTGGCCCTGATGTGAGCAGCTCAGAGTGAAGGACAAAGAGTACCATGGAGGGATTTGAGGCCCCCTGACACTTAGGGGAACAAAAAGAGGTCAGGTAGGAAAGGAGTAATGTGGACTGTGCCTCAGATTATGTACCAAGGCCCCAAAAGAATTTTTGTCTTCAGGAGAGTAGCATGAATGCAGAAAACAAATCTGGGGTTGTGTTCTGGAGTTCTTCTCTCTCCTTATACTTCCCTGGGGGGCTCCTGCCTATACGGCCCCCACATCTGCCTCTTAGTAGGACTAGAGTAGATAGTCATCCTCAAGAATGGTTGAGAGCTGGGGATCTAGGGATGTCTAGATACTTCTATATGAAAATCACTCAAGTATAAGTTGTAATCTCTACCATTTTAATATTTCTTAATTGCACATTGTTATATTTGATTGTCTCTATTAACCAGGCCATCACTACCATTTAACTCAAATAACACATTCTTCAACCTGTAACAAACTGTTGACATCAAAATAATGTTTTCCATAATTTGTTTTCTTCATAAAATCTTCAAGAGGTGTCTCCATTCCATAAGATAAAAGACATATTTCTGTATGGACAATACCTATGCTTTTTTGGATATAATTTCTAAGTCAAGAAATCAGCTTTCATCAGTTTCCTTTCTCTCTTCACTTAGAAGCTCAACTTTTTTTTTTTTCAGCTTTCTCAAAGCTATCCAGTATCATAATCATCTCAAAAATTTTTGAATGATATTTTCTCCTTAATTATGCATCATTTGACAGTGTTCCCAGATGGTTAGATTTCATTGTCTAGACTTATCCTTGTTTCCTAAACTGTACTAAATGTACCACTACATGTTACCCCATCACTACCATTTTCTTGCTATTTGTCAAATCAGTCATGTTGCTTGCATTATAATTTGCATCCTCCATTAAATTCTTAGTTCTTTACATCAATACCTTATTTTATATAATCACTGATGAAATCTACTATTTATCATTTTGCTTTGTTCATAGATTATGATCAAATATAATTTTTCCTTAAGTATAATATAGATTTTAATTCCAGAAATTGATGCTATTATTAACATATGTGAAATGAACATGATCATATAGAAGGTATGTTACAGGGTAGCCCAGTGCACTATAGGGTAGCCCAGAGTGTACTGGGCTGCCTGTCTTTGCAGCTTACCCGCGCGCTCACAACTCAGTTATACTGCAGGTTCACACAAAAGGGTCAATAACGAGTTTATTTACAAAAGGGGAAAAGAATAGGAAACAACCCAGGGAAAGAGAGCGGGATACAAAGTTAACTGGAATAACTTACAGCTAGGCTGACTGAACACACCAAGTCATGCTGTCAGGAGAGCTGCTTCCCTAGTGAGAGAGAGCGAGATGCAATCGCACCCTATTTATCCCCCAAATGTCCCAGAATTCATTCCTGCTAGCTCCACCCTTGGGTCCTAGCAGTTCTCTCCCTGGTACTGCTGGGAGTTGTAGTTTCCAATCACTGGAGTAGGGTGTAGGGTCCTGAAAGCTGGAGTAGGGGGTGGAGTCCATAAAACTCTGCAGAGTTCCTTTAGGATATCCTTCCCCTTAACAGGTATAGTTTTAAGAAATTTATAATTTTAACTTTTTAATATGCATATTCAGATATAAACTATTTCTATGAATTTACATTATATTATTTGCAATATCTGCAACTGAATTTTTTTTAAAGATTTATTTATTTATTCATACAGAACTGGGGTACAAACCAGAGATAAGGAGGGTGAGAGGATTCACCAGAGACAGAGCAGGAAGCAGAACAGGTAGATCGACGAGGTACACTGCTGAGGGGGGCAGCGGGCGGGTCAGGAGAGGTCTGTCGCCCCATGTGGTCACCTCCAGGGCAGGCGGGGATCGAACTCATGCAGAAGTGGCTTTAGTTTCTCAGTGCAGTGCTTTAACACACTGCGCCACCAGGGAGGGCCCTGCAACTGAATTTTTATTAAAGATTTATTTGTTTATGCATACAGAGCTGGGGTATAGGCCAGTCAGAAGTGCAGAAGTGGTGAGAGGATTCACCAGAGACAAAGCGGGGAACAGAACAGGCAGAACATTGAAATACACCGCTGAAGGGAGCAGCGGACAGGATAGCAGAGGTCTGTGCACCATGTGGGTCACCTTCGGGGTTGGGTATCAAACTTGCGCAAGGAGTGG